CAAGTGGTAAATCCCTCCATAGGTTTAATATGCAGCAGGTTATAAAATTATCAAACAAATTCCCTGACTTACTAACTAAAAGATGGTGCACTCACACACTCCAGGAATGAGGCTCAGGTTCAGAGATGACTCAGTCACTGCAGAGGGGCTGGTCTCTTCTGGCAGAGATCCTCCTCGGGCAGGAATCAGGCTGCTTCAGTTCCAGGATTTCCCCTCACCACAAAGGGGTGCAAGGCTTAAGGTGCAGGCCACACAACTGCACTAAAATTCAAACTGTAATCTCCTACCCCAGCATTCAGACACACACACAGCAGGCAGCATCCCCAAACCAGCAGACAGAGCAGAGCTGATCATGCGGTGACTGGTCTCACCCAGGGAGCTGGAGAGCCAACTCAGCCTGGCTGGGGAAGCCTCCCAGCAAACTCCACAAATTGGGAATCAACAGTGAGGACATAAAACCCAGCTGAGGGATCCTGCCTTCAGGTCCCTAGAGGCCAGTTCTCAGGGGGAACCCTGCATGCAGGCCTGGGGCTTACTAGCTCCCACACAGCTGTCCTCCCCTTGCCCTGCTGGCTCCAGACTCCCCTTAACAATGGCCTCTCCTTCCCCCCCTGAACTCTCTGGGAGGGGCCTCTCACTCCCTATGGATTGCAGGCAGACTCTGGCCCTGGTAGGGAGGGGGAGCCAAGGCAAACTCAGAGTGCCTCTCCCTGAGCTGCCAGCAGACAGAACCCTAGGAATCTAGGTAATATCCTTGGGGGTTACATATACATACAGTATGATGGGACTAATTTAGCTTCAACTACTCGAGAGAGATCTGGGAGTTATTGTGACTAGTTCTCTGAAAACATCCATTTACCATACAATGACAGTTTAAAAAAAAAAAAAAAGCAAACCGAATGTTAGGAATCATTAAAGTATAGAGAATAAGCTAGAGAATATCTCATTGCCTCTGTATAAAACCATGTTACACCCACATCTTGAATACTGCATACAGATGTGGTCACCTCATCTCAACAAAGATATATTGGCGTTGGAAAAGGTTCAGAAAAGGGCAACAAAAATGATGAGGGTTTTGGAATGGGTCCCAAATGAAGAGAGATTAAAAAGACTTGGATTTTTCATCTTAGAAAAGAGGACACTATGGGTACGTCTAGACTACATGCCTCTGTTGCCAGAGGCATGTAGATTAGGCTACCAGACATAGTAAAATGAAGCAGCGATTTAAATAATCGCCGCTTCATTTAAATTTATATGGCTGATCAGCTGTTTGTCCGCTTAGCGCGCTAGTCTGGATGCTCCCCTGCCGGCATCAAAGCCCTTTGTCGGCAGGCCCCCTCCCAGCCCA